CAACCCCCTGCCAGGGTGCGAGGAGGGAAAGTGAGTAAGAGAAAGAGGAGAGGAAGGAGACTTAGCCCACAAGAACAGAACTCCTAAGTCATCTCCCCGAGCCATGAGGCACACCTTGGTACACCTTTTTGTACCCTGTACACCCATACAGATGACATCCAAGAGCATGTGGTGGGAGCCTTGATTTCTACAAAATCTGATGTAAGTGCGCATTCTATTTTACCACACTTTGGCAATAAACATATTACGCTACGGGAGTCTTGTGTTTATGTTACATGTGAGTTGTTAGCGCAATATGTGATCCTGCCTGGAGAAGGAGCTATTACTGGAGTCCTGATCCCTAGAGGGAGATCTGTATATACTGGGAGCTGTTGTTTGGAGTGATACTATCCTGGAGGATCTGTGAGAGGGATCCTTTTAAAAAACACTTTGACTCGCAAGGGTCGAGTCTGTAAGGTAAGAGGCTAATTCAGCCGGTGATCGGATGATTTTTTATACAGCTATCAACCCACGTTTTTCACACGGATATTGGCACGAGTTATTTTTGTTCACTGGAGTATGATTATTGAAAGTTGGACTTTAAAAAATGCATGGAAATAGATTATCGTTTTTATTGCACTAATTTGAGTTCACATTTGTGCATGGAGTTGTTTTTTATTCACTTTTGAGATCTGTGTAGGTGTGTGTATATATATATATACATACATATATTAAGTGCACTCTGTGTGTTTATGTTTGTTAAAACACGCACTGTTATCAGTCAATAGGACTGTTTTTTCCACCATCACTATAGGAGTTTGTTTTTATGTGTTTATAAGCACGAGGCTATTCGAGTAGACACGTTTATTCACTTATAATTTGGGGGGATCTAGTTGCATATTGCTTTATTTTGATTCTTCTCTCAGCGATTAGCGCTACATTTTTTTCACTTTTTATACTTTCTGTTATAAAACATATCCAATGAAATTAAATTTTTCATAATTTTAGGCCAAAATGTATTCTGCTCTAGGTCTGGTAAAAAAAATACCAATAAGTGTATATTAATTGGCTTGTGTGAAAGTTATAGCATCTACAAACTATGGTATATATACTGGAATTTGTGCAGCTATAGACACTATACTACAAATGGTGGTGATCAGCGAGTGTGGCGGGCAAAGGGGCGCTGACACTGGCTGCGTGACAGGAGTGATCAGGAGGGAAATTAAGTGGTTAACTGTGTACCTCACAAGAGTACGCAAGTGTATTGTGTGCTGTTTTTACTCACAGATCTGGCTGCTTTCTTTCCCTGAACTAAGAGTTGATTTCAGGGAGAAGAAACAGCCAGATTGCTGTTCTGTGTACAGTGTTCTGTGTGTTTGAAAACACAGTTCCCTGTGCTGTGATTGGGCACATTCAATCAGCAGTAGAAATCAGAGCATAAAGTTCTGTGTTTACAAACACACAGAACTCTACACAGAACAGCGCTTTGGTCTTTGCCATGGTGGAGAGTTTGGAATCTGATTGTTTGATTGCTCCTGTGGACAGGTGTCTTTTATACAGGTAACAAAATGAGATTAGCAGCACTCCCTTTAAGAGACTGCTTCTAATCTCAGCTTGTTACCTGTATGAAATGCAATTGAAGGGATCAAATATTTATTTCCCTCATGAACATGCAAATCAGTGCATAATTTGTTAGACGTGCATTTCTTTTGAATGTTTTGTTGCTATTCTGTCTCTCAGTGTTACAATACACCTACCATTCGATTTTTAGACTGATCATTTCTTTGTGAGTTGGCAAACATTCAAAATCAGCAGGGGATCAAATATTCATTTCCTTCACTGTATCTAGGAATCACACCTATTCTCCCCTTGCCAAGACTAACTTAACACCTCTCATTGCTAAAATAGTCAAATAAAACACATATCACAACCTGAACTCTCGTGGATGGGCAGCCTTTAAAATTAAGATATTACCTCAACTTTTACAGTGTCTTGAAAAAAAAGCATTGATACCTTGAAATTTGCCACATTTTATCATGTTACAACCAAAAACATAAAGTATTTTATTGGGATTTTATGTGATAGACCAACACAAAGTGGCACATAATTGTGAGGTGGAAGGAAAATAAGTGGTTTTCAAAATTTTTTACAAATAAATATCTGAAAAGTGTGGTGTGCATTTGTATTCAGCGCCTCTGAGTCAATACTTTGTAGAACCACCTTTCACTGCAACTACAGCTGCAAGTCTTTTTGGGGATGTCTCTACCAGCTTTGCACATCTAGAGAGTGAAATGTTTGCCCATTCTTCTTTGCAAAAAAGGTCTGTCAGATTGGATGGAGAGCATCTGTGAACAGCAATTTTCAAGTCTTGCCAGAGATACTCAATTGGATTTAGGTCTGGACATGAATATAACACATGAATATGCTTTGCTCGAAACCATTCCATTGTAGCTCTGGCTGTATGTTTAGGGTCGTTGTCCTGCTGGAAGGTGAACCTCCACCCCAGTCTCAAGTCTTTTGCAAACTTTAACAGGTTTTCTTCTAAGATTGCCTTGTATTTGGCTCCATTCATCTTCCCATAAACTCTGACCAGCTTCCCTGTACCTGCTGAAGAAAAGCATCCCGGCAACATGATGCTGCCACCACCATGTGTTCAGGGTGATGTACAGTGTTAGTTTTCCACCACACATAGCGTTTATCTTTTAGGCCAAAAAGTTAAAATTTGGGCTCATCTGACCAAAGCACCTTCTTCCACATGTTTGCTGTGTCCCCCACACGGCTTCTCGCAAACTGCAAATGAGACTTCTTATAGCTTTCTTTCAACAATGGCTTTCTTTTTGCCACTCTTCCATTAAGGCCAGATTTGTGGAATGCACGCTAATAGTTGTCCTGTGGACAGACTCTGTCATTTGAGCTGTGCAGCTCTTCAGCTCCTCCAGAGTTACCATGGGCCTTTTTGGCTGCTTTTCTGATTAATGCTCTCCTTGCCCGACCTTTCAGTTTTAGATGGATGGCCATGTATTGGTAGGTGTGCAGTTGTGCCATACTCATTCCATTTCCGGATGATGGACTGAACAGTGCTCCGTGAGATGTTCAAAGCTTGGGATTTTTTTTATAACCTAACCCTGCTTTAAACTTCTCCACGACTTTATCCCTGACTTGTCTGGTGTGTTCCTTGGCCTTCATGATGCTGTTTGTTCACTAATGTTCTCTAACAAAACTCTGAGGGCTTCACAGAATAGCTTTATTTATACTGAGATTAAAATACACACAGGTAGACTCTATTTTCTAATTAGGTGACTTTTGAATGCAATTGGTTCCACTAGATTTTAGTTAGGGGTATCAGAGTAAAGGGGGATGAATACAAATGTACGCCACACTTTTCAGATATTTGTCAAAAATTTGGAAACCATTTAGCATTTTTCCTTCCACTTCACAATTATGTGCCATTTTGTGTTGGTCTATCACATAAAATCCCAATAAAATACATTTACATTTTTGGTTGTAATATGACAAAATGTAGAAAATTTCAAGGGGTATGAATACTTTTTCAAAGTACAGTATATGTATTCAGAGTGCTACCCATCCCTATACCAGACCATTACTTCAAAACCCTGTCAAGTCTACTGTGAAAATGTAATTAGAGTGCTAAAAAACCAAGATGTTTGTACTCATGCTTAACCCCACACAGATCAATAAGAGGTGCTGGTTTAGTAGATATCCAAGACTACTACTGTGCAGTCCGTATGGACCAAATTAAATACTGGTTCAGAGGCACAGATGGCCCACTTTGGCTAGAAGTAGAAAATGTTTTAACTCCCGCCAATGATCTGCACACACACTCCTTTTGGGAGACCTGTGGAAGCCATGGGATGTCTCCACTTACCCATACAAGCATCACTTCTGGCATAGATTCTTACATAATCAAAATATATACATACAATCAAAGGCGAGGTTATCAGGATCCCACTACATATTCTAGATGCCTTGATACCCATGCTTAAAACAAGTTATTTTATACACTATGGCTTAAATACACTACTTTCTCTATGACTCAAAAACCCAAACATATAGAATCTATAATGGCGGAGTTTAGTCTCCCAAGAGCACTTTAATTTACCTGCACTCATATTCTGCATTTTTTGAATAAACACCATATGCCAGAGCCACAAATACATCCTAAAATCTGGCAATTCTATACCACTAGAAAAGGGCATATCCCTTTTTTACAACATTATACACAAGAAGCTGATCTTCAATAAGACTAACACTATGCTGAAATGGGAAACTGATCTACCCCTCCCACACAGAACACCAGTGTAAATCTGCATATAAAGCGACCCATTGGGTTAACCAGTGGGAGATGACGATTAAGATAACTAATCGATGGCACTCCCTTCAAATTAGCCACATTTTCTTCTACTTACACCCTATGCTGGCGCCACTGTCTCCTACACACATTCTGAGAATGTCCTAGCCCAGTGGATACTAAACGGTTGGACGGTCCCAGCAGCACTCCCTTTTGGACCGCCAGCCCACAATGACAGATCTGCCGCTGAGCAGGGTGGTCGTCATGGCAACCAGTTACATAACTTGTGCACCTTGCCCTTTGCAGCTCACTGTCTCTCCGGCTCCCACTTCCTGCCTGTACACAAGCATCCTTCAGCAAGGATCCCGGCACAGCTCCTGTCTGCCCCCAAGGTAGGGTGTAGTCTTACAGGGGCACTCTGATGGGCACATTTAATGTTAAAGGGTCATGCTGATGGGCACATTTAATGTTAAGGTGCACTCTGATGGGCACAACATAGAATGTACCTATCAGAGTGCCCTTTTACATTAAATGTACCCATCAGAGTGCCGCTTAATATAAATGTGCTTATCAAAGTTCCCCTTAACATAAAATGTGCCCATCAGCATGCCCCGTGTTTTATGTTAAGGGGCACTCTAATGGGCTTAGTTTATGTTAAGGGGCACTCTGATGGGCTCAGTTTATGTTAAGGGGCACTCTGACGGGTACATTTTTATGTTAAGGGGCACTCTGATGGGCATCTTTTATGTTAAGGGGCACTCTGAAGGGCATCTTTTATGTTAAGGGGCACTCTGGTGGGCACATGTTATGTTAAGGGGGCACATATGGTCACATACTGTGGAAAGGGGCACTCTGATGGGGACTATGATGTAAAGGGGCACTCTGATGGGGAAATATGATGGAAAGGGGCACTTTGAGTGTAAGGGGGCACTCTGTCGGGAATACCTGATGTAAGGTGGCACTGTGATGGGGATACTTGATGTAAAGGAGCACTCTGATGGACACACCTGATGTGATGGGAATACATGATGCACTCTAATGGTAACACCTAATGTAAGGGGGCACACTGATGGGCACACCCTATTTGGACCTCAGCCAGAAGAAAATTTTAGTTACCAGACCGCTTGAATTTTAATTCAATACCCCTGCTCTAGCCTAACCAGTTTTTGAAAGAAGGTATTTCAACTCCTATCATCCATAACAGACATTCTACTCAACCCAAATCCAAGCCTAACGCTACTACACCTGTAGTCACTCATAGACTCTTAGAAGCTCAAATGATTGTACTCAAAAAATGGAAATCAATCGATTCCCCCAACATCTCAGAAGTGATCACCATGGTCCAGCAAAATTATACATATGAACACTTATTAGCCATTAATTCTCTAACATGTGCAACATTTGAGAACCGTTGGCAGATCTGGACACACACGATAACATTTACATAAACAACTATGTCATCATTTATTTCTTACGCTCCTTTTTATTATGTACTCATTTGCCACCCTCCATGTGAATGTACTTTAATACTTACTGTCGATATGCTCCGTTATTACTTAAACCTGTGTACTTATCCCCGAGTTATGTACCTTTTATGACCAATAAAAATGTATTGTAATAAAAAAAAAAAGATGAGGATGAGCCTAGGAGAAAGGTCATCACATAGCAATCTGCTGCACTTTATCTGACGTCTGTGTGTTTGAGGGAAGGGAGTAATTGCACTGGGGACATAGGGGATCATAGTAAGAAAACATTTGTTGGGAATGAGAGTGTTCTAAGAAAGGGGAAGGAGAAGATTATTAGTGCTAGGTACGAGATTTGTGGGGGTAGAATAAGTGCCAGGAGGGGGATGGAAGGAGAGGATTTTTGAAAAGGTGTGATTTGAGAGGGGAGTGTTGTGCTATCAAGGGATTTTTTTTCGGGGGAGGGATTTGTGTTAGGAAGAGGGATTTGGGGAGGAGGATTTGTCCTAGGAAGGGAAATTTTTTTGGGAGGGAAAATATGAGGAGGAGGATTTGTGCTAGTAGGAATAATTGGGGGGATTTCTGCTAGCAGGGGAAATGTGTGTGGGAGGGGGTTTGTGTTGGGTAGAAAGATTTGTGCTCATGGGGAAATGAGGGGAGGATTTGTGCTAGGAGAGGAGATTTAGGGGTATATTGGTGCTGGGATATGATTTGTGCTTGCTGGGGAAATTTGAGGGGTAGAGGATTTGTGCTAGGATGGGTGGTTTTGGGGGGAGACTTGGGGAGGGGGAGAATATGAGCTAGCAGGGGGATGGGGGTCAAAGATCTGCGCTGGGGTAGGGATTTCAGCAGGGGGGGATTTGTACAAAGGAGGAGGTAGAATTTTGGCTTGCAAGGGGAACATACAGTTGTGCTCACAAGTTTGCATGCCCTGGCAAAAATCAGGATATTTTGGCATTGGAAAATATGACTGATTAAGCCAAAAAACTGTAAATCGTAATGCTAACAGAAATCACCTAAATGGCCATCATCAAAAGTTTACATACCCTGGAATGTTTGTTCTTGGTACAGATACACAAGGTAATACACAAGGTTAATTGCCCACATCTGTGGCTTTTTAAATTGCAATTAGTATCTGTTTGTAAATAGTTTATTAGCTCTCACGTGGATGCACTGAGCAAGCTAAATACTGAGCCATGGGGAGCAGAAAAGAACTGTCAAAAGATCTGCGTAACAAGTTGATGGAACTTTTATAAACATGGAAAAGGATATAAAAAGATATCCAAAGCCTTCAATATGCCAGGCAGTACTGTTCAATCACTTATTAAGAAGTGGAACATGCATACATCTCTTGATACTAATCCAAGAAAGATTGCAGTCACAACTGCCAGAAGAATTGATCGGGATACAAAGAAAAACCAACACGTAACAACAGGAGGAATGCAGGCTGCTCTGGAAAAAGATGTGGTTGTTTCAAGGAGCAAAATATGACGGTACTCGAACACAAATGAGCTGCATTGTGCAGTTGTCAGCCTTTACTGCACCACTGCCACAATATGCCTGAAAACACCTTGACACGCCACGCCTCACAGCTTCTGGCACACTGTAATCTGGATTGATAAGAGCAAAATAGAGCTTTATGGTCACAACCATAAGTGCTATGTTTGGAGCGATATGAATACCGTGCCCACTGTGAAGCTAGATGACCTTGTCCTGACACTCATATATTGAAAAGTAAATCTTGCACTATGTTTATTACCAATCAGGGTGGCTAACGATACCCTGTTGTGGGAGGAAGTCCCAATGAAAACAATGGGAGCCTAATGGCTTCTGCAGCAAGTCACAGCCGCTCAAATGTAATTGCTCAAGCTCAATCACTCAATACAGAGATTCTCAACCTAGTAAGCACACATGGTTTCACAAAATGTTGTGAGTAAATACCATCTACAATGTATTCTGTTTTATATAAAGTTTTTGAAATGCTTTTAAATTAACAAGTTTATACTTACACTGCAGGTTATTCTGTTACTCTACTTACTGAAGAAGCTAATCACAAAACGCCTCAATACAGCTTCCCTTCTGATATTTCTACTGCATAACCGACATATGGTAGTATAGTGATGTAAAAATTGTTCTATGCCATGTAAGAGGTTGTGTCTTAGTACAACAATAATATTGCAAAGCAACTGACTAAGCAATGCATGATTTACCAGGAGACAGACTATAAGGGATAATGGTAATTCACTTGTAGGTGGGGCTCAGCACCCAATACGGGGACCTTCCGTGAATGTGCTTGCTAATGCCATGAGAACGTGGGCTCGGGGCCATGGTCAGGCCGAGTTCAAGTTAAGGCAACACCCCAACTCTGAAGCAAGCTATGCCATTATGCACAGTTCCAATTGCAGGCTTTCGACACATTACGGTTAAAGCGCTCTTCCCCTTGTCAATGTACAGTTCCTTCCAAATGCTGCAGTTATGAAGGGGACACAGCAGAGCTCATGTCCCTCTCACCAACACAGCTGTAGCCTGACACCTCACTCCCAATGCCAGATGAAGTTCCCACCAGTCCTTTAGTGAAAAACTCCCTGCTACTAAGCTTGAATTAGTTCCTTGTCTCTGTACCCTCTGGCTAGGTCCCTGGGTTCACCATGCTGCGACAATGGTCCCAAAATGAGGCACCAATAGCTAGGGAGAGGGTCAAGCTCACCAATCCCCTCACTAGAGGGGCAACTGTCACCCATGCCAGGTACCACCCTCCACTGGCTGGTTGCTATAGCATTCCCATCACATGCTGGTTTCCCATGGCAACAGCAAGACAGTAACGTGTTCTGTTAGTTTCTCTGCTTGGTTAAGCCTTCCATGGTGGCCCTCTGGAAAGTCTTCTTCATTTTCTTTTTCTACAAGCCCTTGGTTCAGATACGCTATGCATGCACCCCTTTAGGGAAGAACTTCAGACCAGGCCAAAGAACGATTAAAGGAACTTTTATTAAGAATGATGCAGGATTACAGCAAAGACATGGTTTCCATAGAACAGTGTGTTCATCTGTCTTCCCTATCTCTACATGCCCCAGGCTGCCACTTGTACCTTGCACTGGGTAAAATCCATATAAGCAGGAGTCCACTTGTCTTTCACGGGTCCGACTGTGGAGGTGTCCTGGTGAAAGGATCCTCTTCACTCCATGGCCCAACTTGTCTCTTTTGTTTTTTTCTCACCTGTCGGCCCTGGGCTGAACCCACCTCCCCATTTTATATCACATAGGAAAGTGGGGCAGGGCCCAATTTTGACAGGGAAAACACAGGACCTTTGTTAACCCTTTCCAACCTGGGCAGCCTATAGTAGCTACACAAGGCACATAGTAAGCATTTGCTTACACACTACTGTCTAGATTTTATGTACATCAAGACGTGATATTATTTTTATGGATCGGGTTAAATTGATTTTGGTTTTTGTATGTGAATAAAAATTAAACATTTTTTGTATAACTGTGCAGTGTATATGTGACACCCTAAAAATCCCATCATCACTTAAAGTATCATTAAACCTACTTCATAAAAACTGTCAGTATAATCTTTATTACATGGTGTTCATACTCACTCATTTTCTATATTCTGCAAAAAACCTGGTTGATCCTGCTGTTCATTGTCTCTCCCTCCTTGTCTATGTCCCCGCTGCAGCCTGAGATTGTGTAGACCAGCCGTTGCCACATCTGCTGAACATGCTCCAGTTGCAGTTTCCTATCTAAGCTGTTAATTTTCTTTTTGCCGACAAAACAGCTCCCAGCTGATTTGTTCTGTTAATAAACAGAGCAGCCAGGATTTCCTTTCAGCTACTGTATATCAGACAAATATCCTTGATAAGGGTCTCATTTAGATAATCTAGTTTCATTTAGATAACACATAGTTAATTCATGCCAGGCCCTTCAGGTCTACATGAATTTTAAGGGGAACCCCATGCAAACAAATATAGCATGAGGATACCTCAAATTTCCATACAAGGCCCTTAGCCAAGCATGCAGCCTGGCAGGTCTGGAAAGTGGGGACAAGCATGCAAACCCCCAGAACCCTGGCAAAACACCTTGTTCCAGTGTTCCAGGACAAGGGCCTCTACAGCCCTGGTACGGGCATTGTGGGAGTCTTTGGGCAAGGCTTATCAGAATCTGTGAACCCCCTGTATTAAGAGTCCCCAATTACTGCCTCCCCCTGTGAAAAAAGTACTCCTATTTATTCACAAAAAAAGTGTAAACATAAATAAAAAAAGACAGACAGTGCTTGATAACACATCTACTGTCAATCGCAACGTTGAGTGATATAGATTAATGTCAATCACTGTGTCTGACACCTAACAAAAGAGAAAAAACTCTCCTGCCACCAGCACATATATGGTCAGTGATGTAACAATGAATATGTACCTATTTGTCATTCACGTTGAAGGGTAGTATCTAGTGCCCCCCTTGTTGTTAAAGGGGGATTCCAATAATCTCCCAGCTGATAGATTTGCACCACCACTGGACCAGGGTTGTGAGTAAAAGGACCTAGTCAACAATGGGGGAGGGGGGGCACCTAGTATGTGGCCTGGTATGGTTGAGGAGGGGGCTGCATTCTCATCCCCTCTATTTCCTTGCC